TCTCAAGCTTAAACATCATTGCATGGAATTTCCTTTGTTCTCTACTCTTTTGTGTTCTTGTCTCTTCCATAGGTCTCCAACCACCCTTCAATAATTTTGGATGTACTACTCCTCGCAATCCATAGTGTGGTGGCATTGGAGGCTTGACTATTATGGGTTGTTTCGTCCTTGACTCTTTGGTTACTACTATAGGTTGTTGCATATGTCCTGGGCCATTTTACGGCTTGGCAACAAAACCTTCCTCTATCCTCTTTTCCAAGCCATATGAGTATGTTCTAACCTCCTGATTCCTTACAAATCTTGGTTCATTGTAAACTCTCCATGACCTAAAATTCTTGGTCTAGCCACTTTGCTCTTAGTGTTTGTGCTGCCTCAAATATGCTCTAATAGCACTGACCCCCTCCAAGCAAGGAATGATTGGCAACCCTTGGTAGAGAAAAAGCCCATCTTGTTCCTCGTAATGCACCAGTCTTGCTCCATAAATACCAGGCTCCACTCCATTTTACAACTCTGCACAATTGAATATTTGCAAGTCATTTTAGGCCATGGTGTTTGACCGGTGCCTAAATGTACACATTTAATCCCCTAATGTACACTTTATGTTGCGACCCCAACCCGCCCCAAGAGGTTAGAGTGGCGATCAGCCAGTAACCATAGGTTACCCACGACCTCTTTCAAAAATACAAAAAAAAAATATATATATATATATATGTATATACCGGGGCCAAAAACAGAAACAAAACAAATAATAAAATTGTCCATTCAGAGATGCATAAATGACATAAACAGAATTACCCAAGCACACATACATACATAACGATATTATATGGAATACAAACATTAGTCTTACAAAATTCATAAGTTCATACACATGACTTAACAAAAGCAAGCTCAATGTAGCTTCACCAAAAATAGAAGTTGAACAAAACAAAGGCCGATATGGCTTGACCACACAAGGACAAAAGCAAAAGCCTCATCACGGAGGCACTTCATTGGGTGGCTTGCCCAAATGGTTGGACTCCCATGCAACACTACGGCAGATCTTCCTAGAGCTCACCTACATATATATAGGGAAATAAGAGGGTGAACTAAAGCCCAATGAGTCATATCAGAGTAAAGTGGTTAATGAATGAAGACCAATCAAGTTGCAAAATATATTATTTAACAAATTCACAAAATGAAGTACTTGTCGAAACAAAACAATCCTTATATTCTTGAAACAAAGCATTTGATACAAACGGTTTCCATTACTGAAATATAATACGTGGTAACATCTAATAGGGGCAAAACAAAGGACCATCATAGGTCAATAAGAAATAACCATCATACGTCATTGCGAAGGACCAACATGGGTCAACAAACCGAAGAACCATCATAGGTCAATATTACTAGAGATCTCTGTAATCAAAGGCCTTGGTGCTTATGCGTCCCCCAATGGTTGGGGCTGTCTACTAAGGGATGCCATGAATATATTTATCAAAAGGGACATTCGTTCATTCATACAAAATAAGATTTCATTAAAACATTAATCTTGAAGCATTTTCAAAATATACTTTCAAACATAACTTTACAAAGATATTACTCACAATGACTCGATCCAATGGTATTCCTTGAGGTTCGACCTAGACAAAACACATAAACATGCACATATTGAAACACAACATTCAATTAAACGAAACTTCCTTCTCTTCCAATCAATTCTTATGTTGGTTTCTAGCTTATTTCTAGCTTATTAATCCATAATGAATCAAAATCCATGCCTAGGAATGCTTAGGAAAGGATGAGGATGAAAATATGAACAAAATGTAAATGTCCAAAACATGCTGTAAAAAGGCAGTTCGCTTGAGTCACCATTTGGTTGCTCGGGCCAACTATGAAGTCTGTAAACTACTGGATGGGTTGAATGTATGCTCAAGCCATGTAATGTTCGCTCGAGCAAAGTGGAAAACATATAGTCAGCTCGCTCGAGCCACCATTTGACCGCTTGAGCCAACTATGAAGATTGCAAAAGTACTAGGACCTCGCAATGTATGCTCGAGCCAACACTTGGTCACTTGAGCATTGTGAAAACATATAGTCAGTTAGCTCAAGCCATCATTTGGTCGCTCGAGCCATCTGTATAATTCTAGGTTCCGAAATCTGCAAAAATGACTTCCAAACAACTTTTCAAAACTTGGGGTCTTGCATAGCTTGTTCAAATACATGGAATAGCTTTAGAAAACTCAAATACAAGACCCTTAAAATATCCTTTATTCAAAACTTCATCAATTTGTCAAATATTTTGGAATTAAACCTTGTTTTTAAAACTGTATTTACTATGTATGTTGCTACTCACTGAGCTATTAGCTGACGCAGCTGTTTATCATTTCCAAGTGTTAGAAGGACTTAGAATGGACTCATGGCATAGCGGGGACTCAATTGCATGGACCTTTAGGAAATTCATTATTTTGTGTTAGTTTTGTGCATACATCGTGGTTGGATTTTGTTTAGAACTATTTTATTTTGTGGACGGTTTGTGTTCCATTTAGTATACATTTTTGGAAGTTGGTTATGGCTGGTTTTATCATTTATACTTGTGACATGTCACCGGATTGGGTTTTGATTTATTTATTTTTGGGCTATCGTCACATTTATTCTTTGTGATTTTGGGTTCAGGTTTAGGCTTACGTGTGCCTTGGGCTAAGTCCCTATGGGGCACGACCGGTCATGCCTAGATTTGAGGTGTGAAGTGTTCTCCAAGATTGATTTGAGATAGAGATACCATCAATTGAAGGTCAAAGTTGAGGACATTGAGAAAACTGCTTTCTGAACCAAGTATGAACATTATGAATTCTTAGTCATGCCATTTGGAGTTACTAATGCACCTGCGGCTTTTATAGACTTAATGAATTGGATTTTCAAACCATTTTTGGATGAATTCGTAGTTGTGTTTATAGATGATATTCTGATTTATTCCAAGAGTAAAGGAGACCATGAACAACATTTGAGAACAATTCTCCAAACACTTAGAGAAAAATAGTTGTATGGGAAACTTAAGAAATGTAAATTCTGGTTAGATTAAATTACCTTCTTGGGACATGTTATTAATAGACACGATATATCTGTTGACCAGCAGAAAGTTAGGGCAATTGGCCTACCCCAATTAATGTAATAGAGGTCCGAAGTTTTATGGGTTTGGCAGGTTACTACAGAAGGTTTGTACGAGATTTTTCAAAGATCGTTGTACTTCTCATCAACTTACTCGGAAAGAGGGACCATTTGTATGGACAGACCAAAGATAATTCACATTCCAAGAGTTAAAGACAAGGCTAACCACATCACTGATTCTTACACTGCCCTCAGATACAGAAGGATTTGTGATATATCGTGATGCTTCTTACAAAAGTTTGGGTTGTGTCTTAATGCAGAATTGGAAGGTAATTGCTTATGCATCTCAGCAATTGAAACCACGTGAAAATAACTACCCGACACATGACTTGGAACTACCGCTGTTGTTTTTGCATTGAAAATATGGCTTCATTACCTTTATGGAGCAAAATATGAAGTGTATAAAAGCTTGAAGTACTTTTTACCCAGAAGGAATTAAATATGCGTCAAAGGAGATGGTTAGAGTTGATCAAAGCTTATGACTTGCAAATTCAATGCCATTCGGGTAAATCTAATGCAGTGGCTAATGCACTTAGTAGAAAGAGTAGGGAAATTTAGTGTGCCTACTTACTAAATGGAAGGAACTTTTTTTGGAATTAGAAAGATTGGAAATAAAAGAAGTACATTGTTGGCAAGATAGTTTGTTAGCCGCAATGTTCGCACAACTGACAATTATAGAAGAGATTAAGCAAAAGCAAAGAGAAGATATGTTTCTCAAGAGACTCTCTGATGAATTTGAAACCAAGCCAAGACTGGGTTTTACTATTGAAGGGCAAGTGTTGAAATTCCAAGGAAAACTATGTGTTCATAATGATACAGAGTTGAAAATAAGAATTTTGGAGGAGGCTCACAAATCAAAGTTCGCAATGCATTCGAGAAACACCGAAATGTATCAAGACCTGAAACAAGCGTATTGATGGACTAACATGAAAATGGAGATTGCTAATTTTAATTCCAAATGTCTCCAGTGTCAACAAGTTAAAGCTGAACATCAGAAACTGGCAAGACAACTTCAACCTTTTCTTATTTTGGAATGGAAATGGGACCACATAACAATGGATTTCGTAATTGATCTACTGCGAACACCTAGAGTTATGAATTTTATCTGGGTTATTGTGGAAAGGTTAACTAAATCTGCCCATTTTCTTCTTGTGAAAACCTCATTTAATGCTTATAGACTTGCTACTATTTACATCAATGAGATTATTCGTTTCCATTGAGTTCTAGTGTCTATTATTTCAAATAGGGACCCTAAATTTGTTTCTTGATTTTGGCAAAGCCTTCAAAAGGCAATGGGGACAGAGTTGAGATTTAGTACTGCCTTTCATCCGCAAACTAATGGGCAAACTGAGAGAACCATTCAAACCTTAGAAAACATGCTTCGTATGTGTGTATTAGAGTTTCAAGGTAGTTGGGAAACTTATTTACAATTGGTAGAGTCTGCATATAATAACAGTTTCCAAGCTAATATCGACATGGCACCATATGAGGCAATGTATGAGAGGAAGTCTAAGTCTTTGATTTGTTGGACAGAAGTTGGGGATAAAGCTTTGTATGGATCAAAACTCGTGCAAGCAACACTAGAAAAGATAAAGATCATACAACAAAGGCTCAAGCCCACTCAGAGCCAACAGAAAAGTTATGTAGATCAGAGGAGAAGGAATTTAGAATATGAAGCGGGTGATCATGTGTTCATCAAAGTCACACCCATGAAAGGACAAACGAGGTTTGGTGGGAAAGGGAAATTAGCTCCTCGTTACATCGGACCATTTCAGATATTAGAGAAACTTGGCCCAGTTGCCTACCGGATAGCCTTACCACTGGGAATGAAATAGATACATAATGCGTTTCATATGTCCATGCTTCAGGGTTATCTTTGGGATTCATTTCATGTCATAGATTATCATCAGATAGCTTTGGATGATGATTTGAAATACGAAGAATGGCTGGTACAGATTATTAAACAACAAGTGAAGCAGTTAAGAAATAGAACAATTCCAATGGTAAAGGTGGAGTGGAAAGAACAATATGGAAAAGAGGTTACATGGGAGAACAAGGATGAGATGCGGCAGCAGAACCCACATCTATATTCGAATGAAGGTAACTTAAGTTTGAAAGACCAAACTTTCTAAGGGAAAGAGACTATAACAACCCCGACGTGCATATCGTTTTTGCATATTAATTTATTTGAAAGAGAAAAATAGAATCAAAATTTATTTTGTCCCATTATTTCTCACATAAACCTTTATCCTAAATGTTATTAGAATGTATTTAACATTTGATTAAATAAGGAGTTCAAACAGCTCAAAACAAAGGTTCAAACAGTCTAGCACAGCAGCAGGCCAAAAGGTTCAAAAGGTTCAAGTGAAAGATATTCAAATTTGTAATGATAGAGTGGAAGATATTCAAATTAGTAATGATGGAGTACAACGGCTATAAACGGCTATAAATTCAAATGACTACAACGGCTATAAACGGCTATAAATTCAAATGAATACAACGGCTATAAACAGCTATAATTTTCATTATATATACTAAAGCCTCTAATGTAAACAAGTTACAAAAAGCCTGAAAATATTCTTTGATCTATAATCAATCACACCTATTCTCAGAAATTATACATTGAGCCTTATAGCTTTAAGCCTATCTTTCCTGTGTGAGGTTTACAGAAAAACCAAAACTTCATTTTTATATCTATCTTTGAGAGATAATTCTTGTAGCTTTCTGTGAAAGAAAAAACACCTTCTTTTCAACCTTGTAAAAGTGTAGTACACTCAATATTCTTGACTTAGAAAGTCAGTGTAAAATCCATGAAGGATTGCTCCATTTGTAAAGAGGTTGCTAGCACCCCCGTGAAGCTAGAGCATAGTGGAAAATCTCAAGTGAAGCTTGAGGAGTGGACGTAGCCCAAGTTGAAGCCGAACCACTATAAATTTGTTCGCCTGTCTCTCTCTTATCTCTTTATTTTATTTAAATTGCTATAGCTATATTTCATATTTTCACTGTGCTAAAATCATTAACTGACATAGTTGTTAGAACACTTCTTTTTCATTAACTATATTTATCTATTGTGCTAGTAATAATTTTTGTTAGGGTATTATTAATTTTAACTATAAAAACCTAATTCACCCCCCTCTTAGGTTGTCTTTTGGGTAATAATTGGTATCAGAGTTTGGGCTCTTGTTTAGATTTAACAATCTTGAGTTTTTGATCTATAGCAACCATGTATTCTACTTATTCTGCTGTAGGACAAACTAGCAATAGGCCACCTCTCTTTGATGGTAGTAATTACATTCATTGGAAAGAAAAAATGACTTTGTATTTTCAAACTATCAATTATGCTTTGTGGCTCATTATCACTAAATGTCCTAAAATCCCTACCAAGGTAGTGGACCATATCAGTGTACCTAAACTTGAGGATGAATTTGATGAGCGTGATTATAAACTCCTTTAAGCTAATGCTAAAGCCAAGCTTATTCTTGTGTGTGGACTAGATGCAAATGAGTACAATAGAATTTCTGGATGTATTACTGCTAAAGAGAATTGGGATAAACTTGAAATCACCTATGAAGGAACTAGCCAAATAAAAAAGTCTCGGATTAACATACTTATTCATGATTATGAACTCTTTACTATGGAATCATTTGAATCTATTTCTAAGATGTTTTATAAATTTACCAATATTATTAATGCTCTAAAATCTCTTGGTAAATCTTATATTAATGGTAAGCTTGTAAGAAAAATACTTAGGTCTTTGCCAAATGAATTGGAAGCTAAGGTTACAGTTATCCAAGAAGCAAAAGACCTAACAAAATTAGGAATTAAAGAACTCCTAGGCTCACTCATGGCTCATGAACTTTCAATGATGGATGACAGCAAAAAGGAAGCCATTTGGGGAGAAAATGATGGAGTAGCCAACCTCTGTCTCATGGTTCTTGGAGAAAAAGAATCCACTCAAGATGAAGTAATTTCTAATTATGTAGAACTTGAAAGTCCTTTCAATGAATTACATGACATATTTATAAACGTTTGTGTTAAGAATTCTAAATTAAAGAAATTAGTTACTTCTCTTTCAAATGATGTGGGTGTGTTAAAAATGAAAAATGTTACTTTGAAAAATGACTTTACGTCTATTTCCAAAGAGAAAACCATTTTGAAAAACAATGTTGAGGTTTTAAACAAAACTCTTGAAAATTTTGTAAAAGGAAAAGAAAACCTCAACAAGCTTTTTGGAAATAAAAGATGTGTTTTTGACAAAGTACGCAATGGTTTTGATCCTCCTAAACCTTTTATGAGATTAAATGTTCTTGAGACTAATCCCTATGGACCCAAGAAAGTATGGGTACCAAGAAAGAAATCAAGATATTTTGTAGGTGGAATCTCAAAAAACACCAAGGACTTTGAGAGGAAATGCACAACAAGAATGTTCAATCTAAAGAGCAAAATCAACTCCTACAAGAAGAAGTATGATGAAATGAAAATCACCAATATGAACAACAGAGGTAATGTATGGGTGAAGATTCCAAAGAGGTAAATGAAAGTATAACTCCTAACACACCTTTAAGCTTAAAGTTCTATATTCTTGAAGGTGTGATTTGTGTACAATAGGTTGTGTCTAATCATTGCTTCCATGTAACCTAATTGTACTAAGTTTGCTAAGTCATGTTCTGCTAGTTTCTTTCAAACATTCATTGAACTCAAAAATGAGAATTATATTATTTTGATGAATGCCTATTAGAATATGAATGATTCATATATTCATTAACATTTTATATCATGTCATCCATTGCTATGAAAAAGAGATAAGAAGTGATAAATTTTTTTGTGAGCGTACTTTTCACATCTTATTTATGATTTCATACTAATATGTTTATTCCTTTTTGAGTCATATCTTTTTATAATCAATTTTGATGTCATAACATGTTTTTGAGATGTATACTTTCTATATTTTGAATTCTACATTTGTGATCTTAAGAATATTCTCAATATGAAAATTTCATGCTTATATGCTTTACATTGAAATATTTGAATAAGTTATGAAATTTGTTGATTATAATCCATCAAAGAAGTGATAAATTTTTTTGTGAGCGTACTTTTCACATCTTATTTATGATTTCATACTAATATGTTAATTCCTTTTTGAGTCATATCTTTTTATAATCAATTTTGATGTCATAACATGTTTTTGAGATGTATACTTTCTATATTTTGAATTCTACATTTGTAATCTTAAGAATATTCTCAATATGAAAATTTCATGCTTATATGCTTTACATTGAAATATTTGAATGAGTTATGAAATTTGTTGATTATGATCCATCAACAATGTCTAAATGAAAAGAAGTATCATACGTTTGTAGAGACATTGCATCTATCCTATTGAATATCTTTTGAATATGGATTATATTGGCACACATCTCATGAAATGCTTTTGATTGATAAATTGTTGAATTAATTGTTTATAGCATTCATGTTGTGTTCCACATTGAGTAAAATGTTTTATTACACTTGAGTATGTAGATTGAATTGATGAAAATGCCTCTTGATAATGTTATGTGATTAAATGAGATTGTTGTATCATTTTTTAATAAAACAAGGAGCATAACACTATTTTCTTATGCATATTATGCTACGTGTTATAACTTGAAAATTCTGAAAAATAACATTCCAAACTCTTGTTTGATCATTGAATTATTTTTCACTTTTTGAGTTGTGATAAGAAGTGATTTGTGTTGTATTTTTATTGAATAATAATGATTGTTCTATGAATACTATATTTACACAAATCACATTATAAAAGGGTAGCACCAACTTCGGGGGAGAAATCATTTTGCTAACATACTTGTTAAACCCTTTTGAGATGAACTCCTCATGAAAGAAAATTAAATATTGAAAAGCTTCCATCTCTTGATCCTAACGTATGCCTCATATACCCTCTTAAGCTCTTGAGGTAAAATTAACTTTGCATACATTGATTTTTTTTTAAACCCTCATGGTATTTTTTTTAACATTACCATTCCAGCAACACCAACGTCCCATTAAGTTTAATTTTTGCTGGTATTATTTTATTTTCATTTATTTTATTTTTTTGCTATTAGGCTTAATTTACTTATTTTTTTCTCTGCTTTTTAATTTTATTTTTCAGTACTTAAACATAAAAACAGCAACAACCAATCAAAATACAAATATTTACATTAAAAAAAAAACAAAACAAAACAAAAAACACCCTTCATTTTTTTTACAGCCACACACCGATCAAAATAAACATAAAAAAAAAACTCTTCATTTTTTTCCGGCCATACGCCGATCTTACTTACTCGCCTCTTCTATCGTTTTCTTCTTCTTTTTATCACCTTGGGCAACCCTTGACGCCACTGCCCCCGTGCTTTCGTCGAGTGTGACGACTCCCCGCTGACTATCAAAGACCAAGAACGACGTTGCTCCAAATCGGGCCATAGAGGTGGTCTTTCGTTTAAGTTCTTTATTTTCGGCCTTCAGTGCACCTATTTCTGCTCGTGCATCCTTGTACATGCGTTGGAGCAGAGAGAGTTGGGTGTTGACCTGATGGAGCTCACTCGTTCTGTTCTGCAGTCGATGCGCCAATTTGTGACTGCAGTCACCGTCTCCATACAGGACGTCAGTGTGAAATGATTGGCTTCAATGTCTGATTGCACTGCCATTATTTGCTCAATCGACATCATAGGGAGGTTGGGAAGAGTAGGCCCTGGGGCATTCGGCCCAACAGCGCTTGAAGGATTATTCAGATTTGGAAAGAGAGTAAGGGGACGGGATGAGGCCATGTAGTAGGAGAGAGAGATGTAATCGAAAGAAGGGTCATTTTTGGCAGCCTTTCTGCTCTGCTCAGTCTCTCTGTTCTATCTCTCTCATGAAGCGAATAAGGAAGAAGAAGGCGAAGAGAGTGATTAAGAAGAAGACAAAGGAGAAGACGACAAGAAGGAGAGAGAGCCGAGGCAACTGATTGACTGATTGACCCGTCTTGCTTTTGTCAGTCGGCTGACGCAAAAGCGAGGACGCGTGTCCGACGTGATTTTCGATGAAAAAAAGGAAGGAACGGGCGAATCTTATATATATATATATAT